GGCTGGGAAAGAGAAAGAATTCAGACCTCAACAGAGCTCACAAAGAAATGGAGTGCTTTCCCATTTCTGCTGCTCTAATTAGCCCCGTATCAGTAAAGTAACTCTACATGGGTGAAGGACTTTGTTAGCTGCCTCAGAATCTGGCCCTCAAAAAGTTTGTCTGAGCCAGTAAATGTTCTCACCACATCCCAAGATATGGTCTCCCAAACTTCCAGACTTTTTGCTTGCTAGGAAGAAACAGAAAAATCATACAGGCTCCTCTCTCTGCACTGCCTGTAATTAGGTGTCCTTTTTCTAGGATCTCTAAGTGATGCTTTCAACAAAATAACTTCTGGCTTTTTTTTTTTTTTTTTTTTTTCTTCCTGCTATTTAAGCAGCTGAAGCAGCACATATACATGTGTTAGGGCCCTGGTAACCATCCCTTCCCTCTGCAGATAAGCAATAGCATCAGCGCTTGCCACAGAAAAACACAGTCGTGTGTGGGGACAATCTCTAAACCCTTGAGCAAGCCCTCAGCAGAAGCTTGTCCCAAGGAAGAAGCAAGAATCACATGGAGCCAAAAAGAGTTAAAGCTCCACTGTATTATTGATTTCTTCTACCACGTCCACTGAGAGACCAAATTGGGTTTCTTGCTGCTGTTCCAGCACTACTACATTGTACAGTCTTAATTATCTAACAAAATGCATTCAGAGATGATTTGGGATGTTTAAGTAATTACATAGGAATATTTACATTCCATGCTTCTTCTAAGTTCATGCATTCAGAGATGATTTGGGATGTTTTAGTAATTACTTAGGAATATTTACATTCCATGCTTCTTCTAAGTTCAAAATTCAGCCTTCTGGGATAAGAAAAAGTGAATGAAATGATAAAGGCAACTTTGGGCAATTTTAAAGTACATATACGGTCCTTGACTAAATACTAGGGATGGGATGCTTGACTTAAACTGTACTTTTTAAGAAGCCAAAGCAAATTTCAGAGCCCAGATAACTTTGTTGCAAACACCTCTGAAGGCAACTCAAAATTATGATCCAGAGGTTATTATTTTTTTCCTGACTAAAATGATGCAAGGAGACAGATTCCCAGACACTGCTCTGCAGCCATTCCAGGGGAACAGTGTGAGGGCTGTGGCATCCCAGAGCAACGCATCACCTTTTGGGACTAAAAAAAAGCATCATTGCCTGTTGGAAGTCCAAGAAGAACTTAGGTAAGAAAAATATCATTATTTGAGTTGGCTGGTGGTGAGGATGCCAGGGCTAAGACCCTGATCCTAGTGAAGAGTGGAAAGGAATCCCAAGCCTGGTGTTTAATATGCATGATGTGTCTGCTTTGCTGTCAACTTTTCGTTCCACCCCTGCTTTTGTCTGTTTTTTCCACCTGTTGCAACTTGTCCTTATTCAGGCTGAGAGCTGGAATTGTCTTACTTTGTTGTCACATTGTGTCTGGCACAACGGTGCCTGGATGTCCAACTGCTCTTATCAAGACATTAAAGTGATCATGAATTGCAATAATACTGCACAGCCTATAAGACTTCCCTTTTCACACACATGCGCACACACACATACTTATATATACATATTTATTCTTTTTCAATCTTGATGCTGTAGTTATGGCACCTCAAGCCAGAATTCAAGTATGGGAGAGATCTTCCAGGATCTGTCACAGGATTTCATGATTAACCACTGGGTTTTAAGCAAAATGTTTTTGAAGATAAGAAAAATATGCAAGTAGAAATAATAAAAACAATGCAATTCAATCTTATCAATGCAGGCAGTTCCAGCTTTTATGTGGCAAATAAGGAGATCAAATTGCATTTATCTAATATCACAGATTTTTTAAATGTCTAAAATATTTCATTATTTTGCTTTGGCAACCTAAAGCTGAGGAACAGATTACTGTTCCCACTACATAAGGAAATAACTGACAACAATTAGTATTTATTCTTGCTGCTTTTGTAATAAAAATAGAATTCCATCACTTTCAAGGAAACCTAAAATATTAATAAGAATGTGATAAACTGAGTAAATGTGACGCCATAAGGAAATGATGGAGAACAGGTTGGAAATATAGTGCTTTGGGAATGGATTGCATTATCAAGCTTGTGATTGTGCATTTTGACAAGAGCAGCCCTCAGATTGATACAGTAGCCAAAGGGCACTCTTCCTACTGTGAAGCCGTTTATTTCTATCCAGAAAAGGGGGAGTAGAAGGGGAATTGATCCCGTCTGACAATCGATAGTGACTCCAGCCCCGGCTCTTCCACAAGAGGTCACTCCTGAGTGACAGAATTCCCAGATGATGGCCAAAATGCAAACTATGGAGCAATCATGAACAGAAAAAGAAATGCCGAGCTTAGTGGAGAGTGTGGAGTTGGTTTGCTTGCCTGTAATTTGCTTTACTGTTCTGACAGATCCTGTTGTCCATAGCCACAGTAAGGTCTCTTGGGTTTTTGAAAGCTGAATGATTTCTGGGAACTGTGCAAAGCACAGATCCTTTCCCTACCTTCCATGCACCTTGAGTGCATATCTACTTTCAGTCTAACCCTGGTGTTTGGTTTCATGTGGTAAAAAATTAAAGTGGCAGACCACCTACCAGAAGACCCAATTATAATTTGTATTAATTAGGAGGGGTTTTGGCAATGTTAGAAGAAAAAAGCCCCCAAACCTAGTCTGAATGACAACTAAATTACTTGGAATTCTGAAGTCTGCCACTAATTTTAAAAATTATCAATTTAGAACAACAGTTAGTTGTATAAGGAGCAGTGCTACAAGACAGTTTCCTTGTACCAAATGTGTATATCTTCTAATGGGGGAGGTTCCTAAGGTGAAAAACATGCTCTCTCTGACCCAGCATTAGCTGCATAAATTAAGTCAGTGAAATAGTTGGCATCATAAAAAAAAAAAAAAAAAAAAGAGAGAAAAAGAGAGAAAAAGAAAGAGTAATCTCTTTCCATGTATTCGAGAGCAGGATCAGGTTTTTATTTATTTTGGTAATGTTCCCCAAGGCTATCCTTGGTTTCCTCTTCACTCAAGAAAACTTGAATTAGAACATGAGTTGCAACCAAACTGGATGAGAAGCCACTGAAAAGCTGCATGACCAAGACCATGAGCACTCTGTGAACTTTGCAAATTAGCCTGGCAGTTTAAGCCCAATTTTCAATGAAATCAGTGTCTACAGCTCAAAAAAACATAATAGAGAGTTATCATTTGTCTTTGTAGTGTAAGCAGAAGCAATTAGGATTAAACATAAAACCCAGATTTCCTGCTACTAAGTCTCTAGGGGCAGTCTTCCTAATTTTAAATTAAAGACCAAATTACAGGAATACTTAGGTTAGAATATACCTGTCCTTTATATACTTACGCTGCTAAAACCCCCCAGGTACACGGCAATATCAGCTCTAAAACTGGACATTTTTGCAGCCCTTAAGATGTAGAAAGTTTAAATACAAATGAGTCTGAACTGTTTGAATATACACTAAAGATTGTTGGGGGGTTGGCCTGCTAACACATCACTTGCTTGTTTTCTGTGTCAAACTGGAGGAGTTTTGAGCCATCTTTAAAAAAATCTCCTTTGTTTGTATTTGGCAGTGGCAGTAGTCAATAATACAAGAGCACTATAAAATTATAAAATTGTTAAACTTTGTAAGAACTTTATAAACACACTTGCAGATATTTCACATATCTTCTCTGTGCTCTGCAGTCAAACTGGACAATGAAACGACCACCTGTTAACTGCTAACAATGTGTCATTACCAGTTCTCATGCCTTTTTAAAGCAATTTTGGCTCTAGATGCCGATAATTCTGGCTACGATACTTGTGTGAACATTAAGGGCACAGAAAGCCAAAGGCAGAAAACTGACAATACAGTTTGTGCTTAGACTACTAATAAGTAAGTGAATAATATGATTTTTCTAATTCCACATAATTACTTGATCTCAAGGGGCCAAAAAATAAGTTCTGAATACATATTTTAGAAGCAATCCAATATACAGTATTTAAATGCAAGCTTCAATTCAGTGAGATTTCACAGCAGATATTTTCACATTTTTTAAGAGTTTAAATAGCCTTTAACAAAACAGAAATAATAAGAAATTGTTATTTAAAGATATGTGAGAAGTATAAATAAATAAATAAATAAATAAATAAATAAAAATTCCCCAAGTATGGAGACAGTTTATGGGCATTTTGCTATTAGCTACAATAAGAGGAGAATCAGACCCTCAAAACTTACCATGCTCCCAGTCTTATTTTTCTTCCTCTGAGAAATGCCATGTAACACACAGTACAAAGATATTGGGACAATTTTTCACAAGCTACATTCAGGATACTTTATATTTTATAACAGAAGGAAAAATCTTTGAAAAACCCAGATCTCCAAGATAATAAGAAAACAACAACAATAAAAATCTTTGGTCTGCAAAAAGAGACTATTTAATGAATATCTGTATTTGTGTGTACAGGCACATGCATGTGTGTGCATACATTTATGATTGTGTGGATAACTCTAATTAAAAATAATGATGTTGTGTCTTTTTAATGCAATATCAAAGGCTTTGATCCTGCACTGAAGCACATGCAGGCAAATTCTTACACAGCACTTTGGTACCTATAGGTATCTCATACTAGCATGAGAGTCTAAAGCTGTTCACAAAGCAGAATGTGAATCTCCTGACAAATGAAGAAGAAAAACAAACGATTCAAACGAGAGGGCAAAATTAAAAAGATGCTGAATGAGTGATTCTGGGTGACCACTAGCCTCTGCGTCTACTGCCCACAATATCATGAGCATCTCAACACACACTGGAAAAGGAAAGTCTCACAGCACATCCCTGCTGGTTTTAGATCACTTTCTTTTCTAATCACACTGATAAAAATCAACCTTGATCCCTGGAATATACCTTCTATAAAATTATAGATATATCACTGATTATCAGTTATAGAAGATATGACAGGTCTTTCAGAAATTCAGTGTATAAATATACAACAGACAAAATTACTCTGGCAATTTGAGCTGTTTTACTAAAATGGAAACAAAGCAACTGCAGCAGACCATTAACATAGGACTCATGTTGCTAATTTTTAAAAATAAATGATTTAAATAAATGTTTTTGCTCCTAAACAAATTTATTTTGCTCTAAGAAAGAATGTCAACCTTTAAAAGTGTGGAGCTAGTAGCTATCTTTACTTAAATGTAAGTTATGTATATCAGCACAGAACACATTGAGCTTTAAAATTCTCAGTGATCTTCTTTACGTTCTTTATGTAATAAAAATTATCTCACCCTGTAATGGCATAGTTATTTAAAAAGGAAAGAAAAAACGAGAAAAAAATCAGAAAAGAAAAAAAGCCTTACTTAAAGATTTTCTGTGTTCAGGCTTTGGTTCTTTGGATTCAGTGTCTAAGCTATTCAGTAATTCGATGCTGGAGGATCTTCTGAGTTTGAACTCCAAATTTCTCGATGTACAACTCCGTTCTTTTGGCTGGGAAAAGAGTATATGTGTATATGTGTGTGCATGATTTTAATAAAATTATTATTTGTAAGACTGATGCAAGAAATTACAGAACGCCAGTACAGAATCAGAAACTAACAGACACACACACAGCAAGTGATGCAGGGAGTATATAATTTAAGGAAAGTGTAATGAAAAATTTGTCATATGGCAGGGCTTTTATGGCCCTGACAGAATGGTCTTAATTTCTGAGATAAATTCCCATTTAAGCGAGGAAAACAAAAGGCCTAATTCTTTAGGCTTCAGAGACTAAAATTATTTCCACATTGCAGGCTACTTCCAAATGCTTGCAAAGAGAAAGGTTGTTTAAATTGCCTTTCTGGTTTAGATAGTTAACAGTAAATGTTCTTGCAAACCCAACTGTTCCAAACATCTTTACAAATTCAGGGTTGAATTCTGCTCGTCTAAGCTTAGGAAAGAGAGGGGGCACTTCTCTTGCTCTAATTCGCTGCCATGCAAAGTGACAATTAGGGATTATTAAGGGAGAAAAGAAGAAAAAATAAAAGAAAAAAAGAGGTGATACTTGGCTAATATCACATCTTTTCCTACAGTGTTTGGTCAGGTGAGGTTTATCTGTCCTAACACCTGGAAAGCTGCAAGGCTTTAAAGAATCGTACAGAGTTTTTAAACTGAGATAAATGACATGTATGAAATGGTCACCTAGTACTTCATGGTGGCATACTGTCCCGAACACACAGGAAGGGCCAACTTTCACCAGGGCAAGCGCTGCTTTCTGGTACCTTAACCACTTACAAGTTTTGCCCCACCAGCCACACATTATGTGGTTCACTGCATGCTCAGAGCTGCTGAGGCCACTGTATTACTTTAATTTCAGTGAAAAAATGGGGGGGGTGGGAGGAAGAGTATTGTAAGTCCCCATGGAAAACTCCACCCCAAAATCTTCAGTAGGATATCAATATCCTCACACACCCAATGAAATGCACAATATGAAGACATACATCATCAGATCAAACTTTCCTTGGCTGATTATAGCCTCAGGGTAATATAATGTTTGTAGCTCTTTAAGGAAACAGTAGCTGTGTTCGGATTAACCCTTTCAAAGAGGCTACCTCTGCCTGCTCTGCCAATCTCACTGCAGCAAAACCTCTGGAAAGAAATGCAAGAAATGGGGATATTTTTCTCTCACTAGATTCTGCAGTGAACAAGGAAAGTCAGTGCCCTCTAAAAACACATGTTCTTGGATCAGGCAGGAATAGGAGGAAGGCATTTGGAATTTGTACTGAGAGTGGCAAAAAAGAAAGAAAAAGCTACAGCTGAATCTGGTTTAGTAATTAAAAACTGTTTTAATAAAATGCAGCCCTGCTTACTTCTAGTAGAAAACCCCCAGCCTTCCTGGGAGAATAACAGCAATCAGTCACAAAAGAATATTATTTGCTAGTGTTATTCTTCTGAATAAGTAATACAAAAATTCATAAAAGGCTCAAATGTATTAATAGTTCTATTGAAGATTATATACTGTAGGCTGCATAAACAGAAAATGCAAAAATTCATTACTTAAGTGCTTGTGTGCTTTTACAACCCTCAGCAAACCAATGTCCTTGTTATTTCAGAAATAAATGTAGCGTTCCATTTCAAGGCAAGAATCAAGTGACATTTTTGTTCAACAACCTTGTTTATCTGACATTTTTTAGTAGATTTGCATACATATTTTTATATCCTTCAGAAAAAGGAATGTCTAGCTAGCTGCTGACTGCCTAAAACCTGTAGAGATGCCTAAGCAAATGAAGTTGAAATTGCTACATCTTAATTAATAAAGGTAACAGCCAAAACAAATACATACCAATCTGTCAATTGCATTTTTGATAGCGTGGAACCAATCCAGTATGAGAAAGTCGATGTCTGACTGGAGGAGAAACTCATTTCCTGACACTGTCGTGATCTGGAGAGGGCATGGGACACATAGGTAAGAAAAATACACACTGGACAGAATATTTTCTTCTATTTTCTCTCCTATGCACCCAAATGCTGTTCCTTTGTACCCAGAATTGTCTGCTGGAGTGCTGAGCTACTGAGGAGTTTTGAACCTCTGTCTGAAAACTGTTTTGAGTATGTCACAACAAATGAAATATTGTCTCAGCAATGCAACCCCCAAACACAAATAGTGCAAAAGTAACAGGAATGCAACTAAAGTTAAAAAAAGACAGGAAATTCAGCATTATAAGGCACATCAATCAAAGAACCCTGAAAATAATGCAATATGAGAATTAATTCCTGTTATTTTCAGTTTCCATTTCCATTTTGGTAATATTATTTTTATATCTGGTACCTGCATTTATATTTTTATATCTGGTACCTCAAATTTACCCATTTATTATATAACTGTAATTTCAGAGTCCATTTTTAATGAAATTAATAATGTCACTCTTTTTACATTAAATAATAATAATAATAATAAAATACCTTCAAAGATGGCTGTACCAGAGTAATTAGAGGCCCATTTATCATGAAAAAAAATTCCGCAGTTTGCCTGAATGGGAGTCAATTTGCATTTTTGACCCACTCACTGGGAATATTTATCAAAAGCATATTAAATCCCATGACAATGCTGTTTCACTGCCTAACAATATTTTGTGGAAATATGTATGCACATATTCTGTTGATCTGAACTTCTGCAAACCATGTTGATAGTAATATTACATCATATATATATATATATACATACACACACACACATGTATACACCAGAGCAGATCTCCAGGTATTTTACACAGCAGGTGAAACCAACCATTTTACAGATGTCAAAACTGAGGCACAGAACTATGAAGTGTTTTTCCCCAGGATTGTTCAGCTTGTGCTTGAAGCATGATTCAGGGCACAGCAGTTCTGTGTGTTTGCAGATGAGTGAATGAAGGGTTACATTTTGCAAGGGGTAGAAGCTTGTCCTGCCCACGATCCAAACCAGCTCAGCTCCTGCCAGCTCTGAAACCAGTTTTTTCTTATTTTTTGTTGTTAAGAATTGCCTGTGCATAACTCAATAGCATCTGCATGTGGGAATTGCATATTGAATTTCGGTGTTTTGAGGATGCAGTTTTAATCTGCTTACTGGGACATGGTATTATTCAGGACTAAAAACTTTTCAGGTATTTTTTGGAGAATGGCTGAACACAGTGAACAACAGATATTATTTTCTGACCAAAGTGAGAGGAAAACCAGAGCAAAGCCTTTGAGTCCTGGTACAGCCTATTTATGTAAATCCACTAACCTGAAGTGCTACTGCTTCACTGCATCTGCCCTATGTCAAGAGTTTTTATTATACCATAAAAGAAAAAACAGCTCCTCACTAGCTTGGGTACTCCACACTTCTTTCTTAAAACTGAAATACTACCAGGAATTAAAAAAAAAAAAAAAAGAAAAAAAGGACAAGAGAACTTAATGTTTTCTTAATTGTTCTATAACCTTCCCTTTACTGAGGAAGCGCCTGTAAGGAAGGTTTCTAAAGTCACCAGCATTAACAAAATCCCATCAGCACAGCTCTAGCAGAGACATCCTGTGAGAGTGCTGCAGAGAATGTGGGAATGGTCCCCGGTGCAGGCTCAGAAGCTGCCTGGATTCAGATGTTCATCCCAACCGCACCCGTTAAGAGCAGACCATCCGCACCCATTAAGAGCAGACAAGAACAGCCACATTGTTCCCCACGTACACAGGACAGTTATTTATTGGGAAAATTTTAATTCCCTTATTAGCCCGCAATCATGTGTTAATCCCTATTCATACACTCACTGTTCCCTTTATGAAAAGAAAAAATTAGTCAAAATTCAACTGAAGGTGAGCAGTCGAAATAGCTGACCTCTAGTTCTCACAGCTCACATGGCAAAGTTTGAGTTCAAAATGTATTATACTATATGACAATTTATTAATGTATACATGCAGATATGAATTAGACTAAACACAGGCAACTATTCAATCTAATGCCTCTCTCCCAGTATAAACAAATCATTATTAAAATTATAAAATAGAATAACATTTTCAAAGTAAAAGCAGCATATATAATTAGATTTACTTTATTTTGAAGGCTTAAAAAGGACACAATATAGTCCAGTCTTCCGTTCAGTAAATTCAGGCTTTATTAAAAAACAAGTATTCAGCACTGCATAAACATTTGTAGTGTATGATATGCAAAAGAGATACTCCATTACTAACAAGACCAAAGCAAAATACATGTTGAAAATTTCTTTGTCTGAATGTGTTATTTTGATAATCATATATTATCAGTGTTTTATGAGCAAATCTGTAAAAACAGATCATAGAATGGAGGGAAGAGAATTAATTTAAAATATAGTTTCTGTAAGATATAGTTCAAGTCCTTTTTCTTTCCTTCCTCAGACTAATCTTCAGTGTTACTAGACAGTTTCAAGAAGACTGCTACTGCTCTCTACAGTTTAAATGCATCCACTCCTTAATTACAGGCAGTAATTGACTTTGTTCTGCTCCATTCCAGTCATTCACAGGAAAGCAGTTCCAAAGGCTTTGGCTGCTAAATCCCATTTAACGTGCAGGTTTCCTATCCCACTTTTATATATTACCTCCTTAGGATTTCTGATAAATGGTTCTTGGAATGGATTGCTAAACCATATTTGCACTTTGAACAATCGAATTTTCAACACCCTTGGGAAAAGACATCAGTAAAGAATGCTAACTTTGACTAAACCTTGTGATTGAACAATTTATGATCACAGCCTTAAATGATGTATAACTAACAACAAGCATAAATTGTTCAATATTAAGGCATGCTAACACACCATCCCTGTATCAAGAGCTGTTGAAATAAAGAGGGACTGGAGAAACAAATGGAAGACAAATCTGGAGGAAAAAAAGTAGGAAAAGAAAATTATGTGTTCTAGATAGAGCTGCCAGCCTCCACTGTGCCATGTACTTCACTTATTTACTGAATTCCCTCTCTTTGTCATAATTTTTGCAAAGGCTACATTCTGGAATTGGCATTACCTTACCAAGCAGAATTATAGTGTTTCTATTGGCAATGACAACTGACAATAACTCTCTTATTTGCAAAGGGTGTGGCCTTCAGGTTGCTTGCAGAACAGCCAGAATGCCTGGTTTCTCTTTTTCTTGTTATAGCACTTTGGAAAAATCACTTCAAAGGCTGAATCCATTCACATGCTAGTTTTACAAAGAACAGTAGTACAGTCCTGCTGTTAAACATTGATCCTCTGAAAATATTGGCTCACTGCAGGTAAATGTGTGTTAAATTCAATACACTGCTGGGCTGCCAACAAAGTGTGGGAAGGGGGGCAGGTGTGAAACACTTTTTATGATATTCTACTTGTGGCTTATTAAGGATTTCTCTTGTCACCTTATAAAGCTGCAAATGGGGAGTTGAGCTTCTTTTGCATGTTACCATAATGACATACCAAGGCTATGCTTGACAAAATCCTATGTTATTAAACAAAAAAATGCCTATATAACTCCAGGAAATACCAGACACTGTATCTAATTAATACCACTGCCATTTTATAATACATGAATATAGCTTGGATTCTATCCAGGATCAGCAATTCTTAAAAATCCTACAAATCATATACTTTTCCAGTGCTAGGCTGTTCCCTGGGACATGCTAGTGTGCCATGCTACTGTGCCATACATGCCTGTGTACATCCAGGACTTCCAGACCTTTAGACATCATCTGGATCACCTCTGTCTCAGAGATTTTTCCCTTTCACAGTACACCTACAGAAAGCATGAGATAAAAACTAGAAAAGTGCCATGGGATAAGCTCAGCATCTTTTGCCCGTTGTCTTCCCGCAAACTCTGGTCTAGGGATTACTGTACTGGTGTGAAAAAAAAAAAAAAAATCCTTCATGGCATCCCTCTAGTTCTTTACCAATATACATTTTTATAGATACTTTAATTATTTACATTTAATTCCACTGCAGATCAAGGATGGAGGCAATTTTAAGAACGCTACTGTTAGGCACTCCCTCTATGGAGATATGGAAAAGAGCAATAAATTCACACAGCAAAACGAAAATACAGAACCGTGTTATTGATTCACTCCAAAGAGTACTCATGCATCTCTGGTGGCTAGAACTGTTATTTGCAGTGATGAACTATTTTCAGACAATGCCAACAACAAACCTTCATACAGGAAGTAAAGAATCCTATGGAGAAGAAGAAATGCAGCAAAAAAGCCTTCACAGTTTGTACCCAGCAGCAAGCTAAAGGAAACAGAATGAAGAGCTCAGGAAGTGAATGGCTCATATATAGTTCATGTATGACCACCAAGAAACCACTACACAGCTCTTATTTCAGTCAAATACTGTCAAAAGATATTGTTCGACTCCCACTGAATGTGGGACATGTGGAAAAAAATGCAGGACTATAGGGGTGAAGTTTCATATAACCTCCCACAGTGGTTCTGCATTGGATTATTGACACTTCTGGACCATGGAAACCCTACCAGATGCTAATCTGATGCAGAATCCAGTGTAGAAAACCTAAATTTTGATGTCACCTGGGGCTCTCACAGCTTGTGGTGAACACTAAGTGATTTAAGCTTGGACTGACAGATACCTGTGCATGCAGAAATTCAGTAAAATGTGTTCCTCTTGTTGCATTGTGCATTGGGATTGCTGCCTTTGATATGTGTAGGAAAAAAGAAAACGTGAGTCTCTGAAGCATTTCTAGCTGAAAAGCTAACACTTCCCTCTTTGCGCTGCTCCCTTTATCTCACCTTGCTTGCTTAAAATTTTTATTTTATTTTTGATCATGTTATTCATCCTGTTTCCCCATAGTAAAGAGGAATCTAGGCTTTCCCTTCTATTTTCCTGAGATATTTTTGCAGGATGGGATCGAACCACTCAGGACATTTAACACAGGACAAATTAGTCTCTATTCACATGTCAGCCAACTGGGATGGGACAG